CTTTTCCCTTTTCTTTCTTCATTCATTCCTCCCTCTCTCATCTACCCTCTATCCTCTGCCCATCCATATCTATCAGATGTATCGGCCACTCCTCTTACTACAAGGCAGCTCTGGACAGGTGCCTGGGGGTGGGGGCGATCTCCGGAGTGCCCACCTTTCTGGGGTCCCAGGGTGCTGAGGTACTCGCAGTGGTAGCTCCACTGGTTGAAGGTCTCCAGGATGTGCAGGGGGTCTCCGGGGATGGCGTGGGTCAGGACGTAACGGAAGGCCCGCTCCTCCCGCGAGAGGCCAGTCAGGTAGTCCCGCACCTTCCGGAGGAGCACCGCTCGGTAGAAGAGCAGGAAGTAATGGCGGTATCGGATGAGCAGGGTGGCCACAAAGGGCAGGAAGGCCAGGGCGATGGCCGGAGACACCATGGGGGCCACTCGGGAAGGCTGGAGGGGCGAGAAGACCAGTTGGACAAGGACTGGCGGGCAGGCAGGGAAAAGGGGAGCCCCTCCACTCACTCCCCACTTGGCTGGAAGTGGCAGCTCGGTCGCTTGTCACGATGTCTTCCTAGCACAGGTGGGATTCAGCCGGTTCTGGCCAGTTCTGGAGAACCGGTAGCGGACATTTGGAGTAGTTGGGAGAACCGGCCAACGCCGCCTCCGACTGGCCCTGCCCACCCCATCTCTTCTCCGCCTCCTGAGTCCCAGCCGATTGGCTGGGTCTCCTTTGGTTGCCCTGCCCAGGAGAACGGAGCTGCAAAGCAGGTCAGTGGGGAGGGGAGGGAGGGGGGATTTTGCAGTATATCCTCCCCCTGCCACGCCCACCAAGCCACGCCCACCGAACCGGTAGTAAAAAGATTTTAATCCCACCATCGCTTCCTAGGAAGAGATATTCCTGTTGAAAACTGGCCAACACAGACAATTCCAATTCTACTTAAGTATTGAATTACTTCTAATGGTCTAGTCGTCTAACGAAGAGAAGGACTAAGGATGGCCTGGTAACTGCCTTCCAGTATCTCAGGGGCTGCCCCAAAGAAGAGGGAGTCAAGCTATGCTCCGAAGCCCCTGAAGAGGCAGGACAAGAAGCCATAAGGACGGAAACTAATCCAGGAGGGAAAAGCAACGTGGAAATTGAGGAGGAATTTCCTGACAGTGAGAAGAATTTATCAGTGGGACGGCTTTCCCTCCAGAAGAGACTGGACAGCCATATACAGAACAACAGAAGGGACCTTGGAGGTCTTCTAGTCCAACCCACTGCTTGGGCCAGAGACCCTATACCCACTTCATACAAATGGCTGTCCAGTCACTTCTGGAAAGCCTCCATTCCACTGGTTGATTGTCCTCACCGTTAGGAAATTCCTCCGTAATTCCAGGTCGCTTCTGCACTGGATGAGTTTCCCTCCGTTGCTTCTTGTCCTGCCTCTTCCAGGGGCTTTGGAAATGAAGTTGACCTTTTCTTCTTTTTTTTTTGATACTGACAGGCTGCTATCATGTCCCCCTTAGTCCTTCTCGTCCCGATCTCACTCCCAACCCTACAGATGGGCAGCCTTTTGTCCTCATCCCTGGTCCATCTCTTCGCCCCACTGCGCGGTTGGATTTGCTCTCGGGACCTTGGAGGGAAGCCAGGCAAATGCCAGGCATCTATTTCAGGCCAGTTACTTCTTTCTCCAAGGATGTGGGGCGACCAAGTCAGCGGGTCGCGGTGAAGAACCCTAAGCTGTGGAAACTGCCATGGGACAGTTTGCCCCTCGGTTGCCTTACCTGTCTGGAGCTGCAGCCAGCCAAGAGTCCTTTGTGCGTTTGGAGAACGCCTTCTGCCTTCTCAAAGGACAATGGGCGGCATGAATGATTGATGGCAACCCTGAAGCTACTTCCTGGGTTACCTGTCCACCTGAGACAGGTGGCAAATAGGAAAGGAACACCACGGGATCTCAACCTCAGTAGGTCAAGCCTTGAAGGGGAAGCCTTGGCAAAGGATAAATGCGACTCTGCATCTCAAGATTGGCATCCTGTCCAGGTATGTCTCTTGTGCCACCCAGGAGTGCCTTTGTCAAACCCTTGGAGGTTCTGAGCATTTTTAAGAGCCAGGGGTGGGATTCAAATCCTTTTACTACTGGTTCTGTGGGCGTGGCTTGCTGGGCGTGGCAGGGGAGGGATATACTGCAAAATCCCCCTTCCCTCCCCACCCCACTAACCTGCTTTCCAGCTCCGTTCTCCTGTGCAGGGCAACCAAAGCAGACCCAGCCCATCAGCTGGGACTCGATGGGAGGCAGAGAACAGGTGGGATTGGCCGGTTCTCCGAATTACTCAACATTTCCGCTACCGGCTCTCCAGAACTGGTCAGAACCAGATGACTACCACCTCTGATGGAGACCATTCAAGGATGCTACTGGGGAATAAGGGGAGGATTGTGACGGGACGGTTAGCTGTGGCTGCTCCTACTCCCTAATTCTTACTATAAATACCTAAATCAGAATAGAATACAGAATACTAGAATTGGAAGGGACGTTGGAGGTCATCTAGTCCAATCCCCACCTCATGCAGGAGACCGTAGACCATTTCAGGCACGTGGTTGTCCAATCTCTTCCAGTGTTAGAGATTCACAACTTCTGGTGGCAGGCGGTTCCACTGGTTCATTGTCCTCCCTGTCAGGAAATTCCTCCTTCATTCCAGGTTGCTTCTCTCCTTGATGAGTTTCCACCCGTTGCTTCTTCTCCTGCCTCTTCAGGGGCTTTGGAGAAGAGGTGGACCCCCTCTTCTTTGGGGGCAACCCCCCCGAGATATTGGAAGACTGCTATCCTGTCCCCCCTGGTCTTTCTCTTCGTTGGAGAAGCCCCTCAAATATTGGAAGACTTCTATCACGTCTCCCCTAGTCCTTCTTTTCATTAGACTAGACATACCCAGTTCCTGCAACCGTTCATCGTATGTTTCAGCCTCCAGTCCCCTAATCCAGGGGTCTCCAACCTTGGCCACTTTAAGACTTGTGGACTTCAACTCCCAGAGTTCCTCAGCCAGCCAGGAAT